CTGAGTCAGAGTCCTATTCTTTTGACAAAGATTTATGTTTCTTAAAAAGACAGAAAATTAAAAAAAAAGTAACATTGCAGGGATGAGGCTAAAGGGTTTTTTAAACTACACAGTAAATCAGACATAGAAGTGGAATAAGAAATTGGAAGAAGGTGACTTGAAAAAGTAATGAATTCATGTAAGAGATCACAGATAAACACACACCCAGAGGGACACACAGGTGCACACACACACACACACACACACACACACACAACTACTCACTCTGTATTAAACATATCAGCAGAACAAAGTAGGTTTATCCTGTAAACACCAAACATGTTTTATTTAGATGAGACTCCCAGGATTTATGACACTTCACATTTTATGCTGCCTGCGTAATCTGAGCTCAGGTATAGCACTGTACTGTAGGTGTGATCTGACCAGCTTGATTTGCCCAACCCACCTTGAGCATCACTGCCATTCCTGCATCAAATTAACTAATACAATTTCCCCTCTAATACGTGAATATCAGAGTGAACAATGAAGACTGGAGATGTAACAACTGTGCAATGGCTCTAGCAGGAAGCAGTGTAAAAGGGCATCTGATGGAAGTGCACCTCCTGGGTGTTTGGATGCAGCCATCAGGGGAGAGTACCTTACTCTGTCATGTTTCAGCCTCATCAGTGGGGCTGTTCCTGACCCGAGAAGGCTGCTAACGGCCTGTGGTCTCCACAGGTGTGCAACTCTCAGCTCTCTTGTTACAGGAAAGTCAATAATTCACAAGTGTTATTGCTTCCTGCAAAACCTTACTGCTGCCAGCCAGAAGACTGTACTAGCAGCATCAATCGTGGTTATTTCACATCATCAGCCCTGGTCGTAATGTGTATCTTCTCAACTTTATGCTTACGCACGCACTTCTGCAGGAACTTATGATTAACCTCTGTAAACGGTTAAAATGAATTGTTGCACTAAGTGTCTCCTCAGCTCTGCCACACTTGAGAGGATGATGTCTGCCTGTATTGTATTGTTGTGTAAGTCGAGGACACATTTTCAGGAAGCTGAAGTCTAATAAAATATACCGTACGTCCACATACAGTACACAGCAGGCCAGCCAAATTACAAAGCAGCACAGGTTGCCTGGTAACACTGTCTCCAGAAAGCTTTGTTGCAACTTGATTTGCATCCCAAAAAAGAAATGGCAGATACTTCAAGAATATATATATGCTGTCATGTTTACAGACACACATGCACGTGTATGCAGTTCCTCGCACATGAATATCCACAGCCAGTCGACTGACAGTCCTCAGTTGAGTTGCAGGCTGTTTTCTGCTCGACTTAGTATGCAAAACAAGAACATGGGGAGATGTTTTAAAAACAATGAGCCCGTCTAACATCTGGCATAATTTTTAGAGTGCCAAGAAATATTGCCTCTTCAATTATTGGCATAGTAACACTGAGGTAGTAAAGAAATATGTCATTCAATGTGAAATGTTTGCCAAACGGACTATTTGCCTTAAATGAGCTGGTGGGGATCTGTGGAGCCTGACAGCTGTACGCGCATATTGGAAAACATATAACCTTCCTAACAGTTGACAGGTTGAACATTTGACAAGCTGAAAGAGACAACATTGTGGCAGAAAATAAGAGGGAGTGGATGAGTGTGTGTGCATCCAGGCCTTGTGAGTCCTGTATGTTTTTTTGCCTTTGTCTGGGAAAGTGCTCAGAGCAGCAGTGATTGACATGTCCTTTACGCTTGATTGATTTGGAAATATAGACAAGATGTCGCCTGTATGAAAGCTACCAATTTATAAGCCTTCATCACAGAACTTCAAAGATGCTAGTGCCATCAGAATCAGAGCAGGAGATTGTAGCTACCAGTGTTTCTGAAGTAGAAAAGCCCAGGCAAGCAAAGTGACACCTCGCTAAAGGCTGCCTGCTAGCTCCACCAAACCTGCTTCCTTGTCATTCTCCCCTTGTCTTTTTTGTCTCTTACTCTCTCTGATTTTTTCTTTTTCTATTTATCAACCGCTCTCTGTCTTTGTCTGCCATTTCAGTCTCTCTGTTTCTCTTTGCTCTGCTCATTTCTCTTTATTCTGTAAGGCTGTGATGAAACACTCCAGAAGTTAACTTGTCCCATAGCTCATTGTCAGAGGAATGACCTTGATGTAGCTCACATGCGGTTTGTTGTGTCGTTTCAGTGTGTGGCTCTTTGCATATTTTGTGTGTGTGTTTCTCTGTAATCACTGAATTGTAAAACCACGTGTGAGTGCTTTATCAAACAGGGGAAGCTTCTCCATTTTTTCCCTCATCCCACACAGTGATAATTCTGTTTGGGAACGATGGCACTGTATAACGTCAGGAGATGGGCGGGAGAGAGGCACACGGAGGTACCGTTTAGATAAAACAAATTGACAGGTGCTGAGCAGGAGCAGCCAGCGCTTAGATAAAAACCAAGGGACCATGCACATTAGATTTTGTGGCATTTTTTCATTTGCATGCGTGACTGTTGTAGCTAAAGCAGGTAGAGCCCCCTCCTGAGCTTCAGGGCTTCTAGCCATAAGAAGTCACAGAGCTTTTTTTTCTCTGGCCTATAACTATAATGCTGTGATGGGACAAGCAGCAGTAATTAAAATCAATAGCCAAGACTTTTCTACTCTCTGGCAAGGTCACGCACTGCCCAGAAGAGAGGAAGAGAAGGAGAAACAGGATAGAGCCAAACAGGGAAATATGTAAAGAGGTGAGGTGTCATCTTATTTTAATTAACCTGCACCTTGGAGACCTGGCACCACAGTAATGCACCATTTTCTGTGTTGGGAGGAGGGGGTTGTGTGAGTGTACATGCGTCTGTGAACATATCTATATCGAGCTGCATTTTGTCCTTGTTGTTCAGTTATATTCGCAGTATGCTCTACATCAAATTCAGGTCAGCTTAGAAAGAATATCCATACTCGATAGGAGGAAAAAAGTGTAAATGAATTTTTTCTTGTTCTTTATTCTCCACCTTTTTTGTCTAGGCTGTAAGACAAGGCTGGTAAGCTAGCTCCAGTGTGCAGACAAGGTGTGGTATAGCTAGCCACTGGCAGCATTAGTATTCTGCTGAGATAGGCACATGCAAATACATTCTTCTTTCTCCTTCTCTGAAGGAATAATCAGCCCTGCCTTTCTCTCCCTTCTCCCCCTCTGTCTTAGAGAGTTGGGGGATTTAGCTATTTGTTTTACCAGGGACCTTCAGGGACATCTTAAAATGTTTGAAAATGCATGCAAGTGTGTTCACTATACATTTCTATGCAAGTCTATCCACCAAACCTGATGTATTTGGTGTCTGAGCAAACACATAAAACTCTCATGTATCTCCTTCTTGTCCTCCCTCTTTAGGGGTGAGTCCAAGAGAGAAATTCATTTCACTCTGCCAGAGTTAGCACAAACTGCTCTGTGCTGTTTGTTGATTATCAGGTCCTGTTCTTATCACAGCCCCCGATAGCATCTTCATCTGATCGGTTGCCAGAGATGGCAGCTTGCTAGCCGGCGCCGCCATCACACAGCTGCTATATGCTGTTAGCTGCTACACTTTCCCGTATATCTCCATATCAGGCCCAAATCTGCCATCACCCTGCTCTCTCATCTTCTCCTTATCTCCTTATTCCACCATCCTCCCTGCTCACAACAAGCCAAACCCACAAATCACTCATGGTCCGCACCCTCTTCTTCCTTTTATCCTTCTCTCTCAGAACATTTACCTGAGCTTCTATGGCAGTGCCATTTTTCCCCATGCTTGGTCTTCACATAAACTGTCAAGGTAGACTCAGTGAGTGACAGGACAAGACAAGCAAGATTTAGAGAAAGACCAGATATAGGAGAGGTGGAGAAGGAGCAAGACAGAGAAGAGGCAGACAAAAACACTGCATGCATATAACACCCTTCTCACCTTGTCTCAGTGGTTGGAAAGAGATGAAGACAAATACAGACAGAGGAAGAGTGTGAATATAAAACACACTGGGTAAGCAGAGAAGTTGTGTGGACTGCAGCAGTGCTGTGCTGGACCCCATCGATCATCCATGAGGGGTGTGGATCTGTCAGCTTTGCGTAGCCCTGGGCCCAGCATGCAACGTGCAATTCAGCAAAGGACACAACAAAGAGAACAGAGAAGAGACAGCACTAAACATGCAACAAATCACAAACACAATACAACACACAACATAAGGAGAAATACTGTGTGACATACTGATACTCAGATTAGATCCCCTCTCCAGTTAATCTCTCTAAACCGTTCACACACTTGCAGAACATTTTGAGAGATAATGAAGTACACATGAACGCCATGTGCCAATCCCATAAAGAACTTCAGTTTTAAAGGGAAACAAAAAAGTCGTAAAATCCTTAACAACCTTGAGGATGCACATTCTGAAAGGAATGATATTTAAAATCTCAAGTAATTAAGTCATTTAGTCTCTAAACTGATCAAATTAGCTGACAACGTGTTACTCTTTGTAATTTAATTTTATTCTTTTGCCATTCATGTTTACTTTCATTTTAGTTATAGTTTGTTGTTAGTGCTTCCTTAAAGGAGCTATGGCAACTGTGGTGTGTATATGACAAAAGATGAATCACAGTGTGATAATAATCAGTAAATGCTGTTTTTGTGTTAAATCAGCTCCACATACAAATTTTTGTTTAAATATAAACTAAACAAAAAAGCATACATTTTTCTTTTTGTTTGCTGTAACATCCACCCCTTATAAGTAAGCCTTTCCAAGCAGATGATTACCAGGTGCTATCCCCCCTTTTCCTTCAGCCGTTGCGCTCCTCAACACATCTGGTAGAAAACAAGCTGACAACTTGATGCAACTTTAGTGTGTCTTTGTGTTTTCTGCAATTTTTATTTCTCTTGGAAAACTGCTGTTCAGTGTTCCTCATATCTTCACCCGATGTGGTCATAACTCCTCTAGATATCATGCCTTTAATTCAAAAGACTTGTCCTGCAAATAACCTCCATAATTTTTCTGTAATTGCTGTTACAGGCAAAGGCTTCCAGCCAAAAACGTCTACTACTACCGTTGCCCTGACCACCGGCGCAACTATGTCATGTCCTTTGCCTTCTGCTTCGACTGGGAGGACGACGTATACCAGTTTGCCTACTGCTACCCCTACACCTACTCCAGACTGCAGCACTACCTGGCCAGCCTGGAGCGTAGAAACCTGCCCTACCTACAGAGAGAGCAACTCGGACTCAGTGTGGTGAGTGAGGAAGAATGTTTCGAGCAGGTGGAGAAGAAATTGTGTTTGGGCTGGTAGTGGTTATAGCTGGAGCAGAGAAATTGAATGGTGGTGAAGATTAGGGGTAGAAAGGTTGTGAGGTAGTATGTGTGTGTGTGTGTGTGTGTTCGTTCAGAATAAGGAGACCCAGATTGGTAACTTAGGTGTGCCTGCTGGTCATAACTTCAGCCTCTCATGTTATTATTAGGATTATTGTACTCTGAGATGACGGACTATAAGCCTCTGGCTGGCTGTGTGTGTGTGTGTGTGTGTGTGTGTGTGTTTGTATGTGTAAATGGCTCTGTGTAATCAGCAGAGCTCTCACCTCAGCAGTAGCAGCCAGTGTATCATACATGCTGCCTCCAGTCTTGTCTGCTCTTATCAAATAATTGTAGGAGAAAAACTCATTAGAAATGCTTGAGAGATTACGACGTCCAACATTTGTCAGAGAAAGCTTGCTGAAGGGGGGCACCGTGAAACCACAGGTATTTGTAAAGAGCACCTGACCATAAAATACAGAAGAGAAATGTTGAAACCGTGGTATAAGAGTGTGCCTTTATAAATACAAAAGCCAGTCACTTATAGTAATAATACAAATAAAATTGGGTCTTTCAGATTGGTGTTGAGGTCATATTTTCATATTTCAAAACCAGGTTTAACGCTAATTTAATATTGACAAGAAAGATAGAAACATGATTCACATATTATGCATTTTTTAAGTTATATGCCACAAGATCTTTGTTATGGTTGAATTGGTAGTAGCTGTTGTTATTGCTTCTAGCAGTAAATGTGTTTTACTACATGAGCCCAAAACTTTGTTGGAAATAACACACGAATCAACCACTTGCTCCAAATATGCTTTGCATAGCTACTCTGTCAGAAAACAACAGGTTTATCTGAGAAGACGTATCACATTATGTTGTTCTTACATGATAAAAGTCAATATGGCATAGTAAAAGGAGCATAACGAGAGCTTTTCATGTAGCAACTCTCTGTGGCTTTTCTTTCTTGTTTCATTATTCTTGCAAAAGCTGAAACTGATATCTGACATAAATGGACAAAAATGGCTGTGTTGTTTTGTAGGCACTAAGTGCTAACCTCTAAGATGAATTCATTGCACTTCGCCTGTCTACTTTGTGATAAAATCCATTCAGTGGTTCACCTGTTGAAATCTTTTATTGTGAAGCAGCAGCAGTAGAAAAGGTTCAGTTTGTATTATCATTAACTTAATACAGCTTATCTGTATCAAATAGATCCGATTACATACACTAACATGCTTTAGAGTCATGAATGTGTTTATAGGCTATTAATCTAACCATAAATACAGTTTATAAATGGGGGGTCATTATTAAAATAAATATAATTTAGTGTTGATTTGGACTGCTATTATGAAATATTTTACTTAATTACACTGTGTTTTAATATTCAGTTTTGTATTTACCACTTTGGTGTGATTTGGCTGCTGTAGCACTGCAATTTGCCATTAGAGATTAATAAAATAGTCCATCTATCTGTCTTAAATGTAAAGGATTCTAACATTTGTGTTTGGGGCATGGCCCCCAGTGTTATAGGCAGAGCAGTATGTTCACCTGCTATTAGTGCCACCAGCTTCGTTCTTAATTCTTACAACTATACAACCTGCCACTCGACAGCTAAATTAATAAAAATCTGCATCACAGCATAGTGAATGAAAAAAACAGACCTAATGTTTGAATACCAGCATGTTAAGTTTTAGCATGTCCTAAAGCGTTGCTAGCTAGTGTTCCCCTCTCTATCTGTACTAGTATTGTGCGTTGTGTATAATACTAAGCTATAATGGCCAAAGCTGCCTGTGCAGCCCACTGTTTTCGCTTTATTTTTAAGCCACATCATCTCTGAGTGAGACAGAGGGGAACAGAGAGAGGATGGAGTCAGTGGGTTTGGCTCACAGAGTCAGTATTAGTATTCATAGTCATAGAGAGGTTTTATGGCCGTATTTTTCTTTTTATGTTCTCTGGGCCTGGGTGGCAGACAGCCCAGCCCCACTCTCTCATATCGCTTTTTCTCCCTCTCTTACAGCCACCCTCTCCCCTTTTCTCTATCTCATGCACATATGCAACGACACACACACAGACACACACACACACACACAGGTCAGAGGGGAAGGGATGAGAAGGGATGAGGAGAGCTTTTTGGCTGCATCAAAGTTTAAAGACAGATTGCTGCCATTTCCACGGCAGAATCTTTGCAGGGACACCACAACAGCTTTAACCTTCTAATGGGTACAGTTATCTCATAAGGATGGAAATAAGAGCCAGGGCCATTTGCATTGCCTTTCTTTTATCTTGCTGACTAATTTGTTTTCTGTAATGTATTCCTCTGAACAAAATCTCTGCTATCCAGCCTGCATGGGTAGACTCAGATACTGTTATAAAGGTTGTCTCTTTTAATTTTTACCCCCACCTCTCTTCATCATAATGACCGAGGTAGTGCTTACTGATTTATAAGGCAGGTGTTTTTATTGTCTTTCTTGAAGCAAGATTAACTAAAGCAGAGTGAATTGAATTTAATGTGTAAATTGAACCAGACTGAATTCACTTCAGATGAGCAGCACTGGAAGAAGTCTGTTTGATTGAGAGAGGCAGACAGAGACAGGGAGAGAGATGTAACTGTTCTGGGATGAATGAAAAGGGCAAGCCAGGAGGATTTGAATATAATTTTCAGATCAGCCTCAGCTCTCAAATTCTTCACTTTTACTTCATTTTCCCCTGCCAGTGGAGTCGATAAGAATGGAATTCACCTGTTCAGAAAACTGCATTACATTTCACAGTGAATTGTAGCTAAACAACAGTAAACTCTTTGTAAACCAGAAAATTCTGGTGTGATTTTGAGTTGCAAATGATTAAGGTCATTCAATTTTTTCATCTAAGGAATACTAACAAATTTGTTTGATTCTAAGCTTCAGAGAAACAGAATCCGTTGTGCATACTTTCACTTAATAACATTTTGATGCCAGCTACTGTATGGGCTGGCATAAATCATACTATAAACTCACAGACTCCAAACTGTACAAAATGTGACCGCAAGAAACAAGAAAAGAACATTTATTTATTTGTTTCCAGTGTTTACTTTGGTTACTTATTATAGAACTTTAAAAATGTACTCATTACCTTTTAAGCATTTCATAGCCTGGGATCACACTATATCTCTGAACTACTTACTGAATCAACCTGCACACAGTTCAGGTTTTTATGCAAGAACCTGTTGATGCGCATGCTCAGGTGTAAAGGTCATTACACACCACAGGCGAAATTTGTGTGTGATTATCTCGAATGTCAGTTATAATTATCTGACCAGTATTCTGCCAGTGACCCCTTACGCATCAATGACAGAATATCACTGAGCAAAAAAACCTTTTTTTTTCACTTCTAGGTCAAGTTTTTCAACTTTTCGCTGACAGTGCATGACCAATCACAGCACAGCTTGCTGGAACATTGCAACATTGCCATAACCACATGGTGGATGCACCAGCTAAACTTACAGTAAAGCAAAGTTCAGCCAGGTGCTATTCCAGCTCAGTGCCATGGCTCAGTATGTGGTGAGTTTAAATCACCTCTGAAATATTTTCTATTTCATATTCTTTATTTGCATCGCTCTTGGTGTGAAAAGACCCTAAGGCTAAATGGGACCAAGCCTTTTGCTTTTGGGACACCTACACTCTAGAACAGCTACTGTATGCCTGACAAACTCAGTATTCATTCTAAATTAATTTCAGGTAATAAACTTATTTGGAGGGAAAGATTTATAGTGCACCACTTTCATATCTGTCTATTAAATATCACACTACATCCAGCAGCCAATAAGCTTAGCTTAGCACGGTGACAAGGAAACAGGGAAACCTGTTGGCACTCTCCAAAGGTAACACAATTAGTCCTGCAGCATCTCTAAGTCTCACTCATTAACATTAACTTTTTGAATCTGTGTAAAACCAAAGTGTGATACCAGCTATTTTTTAAAATTGTTTTTTAAAAAGCTAGGCTTTTTTCATTAAATTATATAATCAAGCTTATGTGTTTTCATGTTCACGTGTGGGTTGGTACAGTATTTAATATAAATAGCATTATCTTTGTTTGTGTTGGTAGTGATTTCCCACCATGACTCACAAAACTCACACATTTTTAAAACACATATATGTACACACACGTGTATGCGTATACAGACACTCACACATACAAAAATAAGTACCAGAAGAGCATCTGTTATTCCCCAGAGGGGAGGGTTTTGGATCCGAGCTTTCTCTGCTCTGCTGGGTTCAAGACCCTGCGTTTGTTCCTCTGGTCCCCGTCTGTCTGAACGTTTTCTTTTGTAGACCATCCTGACAGTATCTGAATAAAACTGTCGCTCTTTTCCCCCCTGAGGCATCTGTGTCCACAGAGGCACAGAGGAAGAGATAAAACACATTTGACCTGCTGCAGTTCTAACAAGCCTTTTTGAAAATATGCTTATTGATTCCTTCTTTAAAACTATTTCCTCATTTCTGTGCTGTATTCAAGTGTCCCTGGGCCATCTGAAATTGAAAGCACCTTATTTGCCCACGTTGCACGTTGACAAAGCATTTTTCTTTTCTTTTTTCTGTTTTTCAGCAGTAGGCAGTGTCTGTTTGGGAGTTGCGGAGGCAGCAGTTTGAGTTTTTTCTTTTGCTGGCCCCAGTGGGGAGGGCAGGGCTATGACACTATTAGTCACCTGTGACACAGCACAGCCTCTGCCTGTAGACCAGATGGAAAGAAAGTGTAAATGAGAGATCTCAGGTCGCTGACCAGCCTTGAGGTTGTCTGAGACCTAGCCTGCATACAACTTCAGAGGCCCGGGTCCTTGCTGACTATTATACTGCCATTCTGTCCGCATACCCGCATCAAGTAAAACTACTGATCTCAGAATCAAGATGTCACATTCACTCAGTTTATTTCTTTTAAAATCTCACAAATCAAAGCAAGATTATAATA